GACGACGGATTCACTCATCATGGCTCTCAGAAGAGCAGCTGCACGACGAGGGTGGCCACAATGCATTTATTCAGATAACGGCACCAACATGAGAGGAGCAGATGCTGAATTGAAGAAAGCCTGTGCTGAAATTATGAACAATGATATAGTCCAATCAGAACTCGCACACAGAGGAGTAGACTGGCATTTCATACCGCCGGCTAGTCCACATATGGGCGGAGCCTGGGAGCGCCTCATTCGCAGCGTGAAATCTACACTTCGCGTTGTGCTGAAAGAAAGAGCGCCGCGTGAGGAAGTTCTTGTTACTTTTCTCGCAGAAGTAGAGAATATGGTGAATAGTAGACCACTGACTCACGTATCGGTGGATCCTAGGAGCCAGGAGACACTGACCCCTAACCACTTCTTGCTTGGTTCCTCGTCTAACTTACCTGTGCTCGGTGACTTCGACGACAGTGACCTTTACCTGCGCCGTCAATGGAGAGTAGCTCAAAGGTTGAGTGATATGTTCTGGCAGCGATGGCTGAAAGAAATATTACCTGTGCTGTTGCCACGTCAAAAGTGGTACCACGATGAAGATTCAGTCCGTGTAGGAGACTTGGTTCTTATAGTGGACCCGAACTTACCTAGATACAGCTGGCCTGTAGGAATTGTAGAAGCTGTATATCCTGGAAAAGACGGGAGAGTGAGGGTCGTGGACGTGAGAAGCAACCGGGGCGTGATGAAGAGACCGGTGACACGAGTGGCACCGTTTCCGCGAGTTGATGAGTGTCGCGACACCGACACTAGGGGGGAGGATGTAAGCGATGCACCTCGCACCTCGTAAAATGTTATAATTGTAACCACTAGCGCCATCTGTTAGCATTTGATTGAATTAATGCCGGCGCGCATGCGCCGAACGATTGCCCTGTGACACGTGTGTACGAGTTGTTAGTTGTTGTTAGTTTGTAATGTTTTGGAAATTGATTAAAAAAGTGTCTTGCCAGCATCTGTTTCATTTTGATAACTACCATAAAAACATTTTCCAACAACGGTCTGTTACAAGCACTACATGTAGAAACTATTATATAAAGCGCGATACATATGGTGAAGATATTATATCTTAAGATAAAACAAACAAACAGATAACCCCCCTTTTGCCAGTAGTCGCCACGCTTGGCAGGCGGATTGGCAACCGCAGTTACACTTTAGAGATGTTTTAAGATAAACGGTGCTGTCGATCTTTCGCCCTCCCTTAGTCGGCTTTTACGACACCTACGGAGTGGAAGGGGTGCCGAGACCACACGGTCATAAATAAACCATATAGTGTAATAATATTGCAAATATTATGTATAATTTATTCCTATAGTATTTTAAGATATTGACCTGTAAGGTAGTTATATCTTAAAACCAGAGGAAGACTACACAAACTCGTCTGCATGGGTACCACTGTCCCACTCGTGTTTGTGCTATGAAACAGCTGCGCTTGTATGACTGTGTTTAGGTTTGAAAGGTAGGATACAATAGTAAAATTATAGGGCACGGAGGTATAGCAGCCATTATTAATGTTATAAAAACTGAATATATATAATAACATTTGGAAAACTACACCACATCTTCTCATCCAAAATACCTCAAAGTTTGAAGACGAAAGCCTTTAAGCAATGCGTGTTACCCATAATGACTTATGGAACTGAAAAATGGTTCTATACCGTTGCCTGTATACAAAAGCTTCAAATTACTCAGTGAACTATGGAGAGGGCTATGCTCGTAGTTTCTTTGCGTAATAGAATCTGGAATGAAGATATTTGCAAAAGAATCAAAATGACTGACATATCCCAAAAAATAAGCAAGCTAATGTGGCGATGAGCTGTTTATTATGCTTGAAAAATCGATAACCAATGGGGAAGAAAGGTTCTTGTGTGGCGATCCCGTACGAGCAAATGCAGTGTAGAACGACCACCACTAGACGGAGTGATGACTTCAAATGCATTATATGGAGTCAGTGGTTGCAGGTGACTCAGGACCGTTTCTTTTGGCAGTCTATGGGGAAAGGGTTATGTTCAGCAGTGGACAGATAATGGCTGAGATGATGATGATTATTTTATAATATATTATCTTTAAATATTATAGCATCTTCCACGTGTATGATATAATTTAAGGAGTCTGAAAAGCTTTTACAAATATTCGGCGTCCAATTTAATTTAATAATAATAAAAAAAATGGTTTACCAATATAGTCGCTTTTATAGGTTTATATTTTTAAGGTACAAAGAAACATTCAGATTATTGGATACAAAAGAACCACTACGCAAAAACTATTACACTAAATTGGATGCGGCTTCCATAGTCGTGTACCTAGTGTGCGAGTTCTAACTTAAAATCTAGTACATGTTTTTTCTTAATTTGCTATTTACAAGTCTGTATTATTGTTTTATTTCTTTTTACGTAATAAATATCAGTGTGATTTTTAATTGTAAAAAGTTTACCACAGTGTGAAAATATTGGACGAATGAACGAATGAAATTTATTGCTAAAAATATGGTACAATAAGGTGATATGGTACTATTGCAAGAGTTGGTTTCCTACACTTTGTCATTACTGATATGCGACAGTCATTACAAAGTTATAACGAAATAAATCTTTATAATAAAATTAATTCAATGTTAAGTTATATTTATATAAATCAGAAATTTATATCTGCTTATACCTAAATATTATTTTCAATATGATTGATGATTATTATTAATAAATTAAAACAAAACGTTTATTATTATTAATCGGAAAATTGGAAGTTGACAAAGAATATTGAAAAACACGGTGGAAGACCGCCACTCGTCCAGATGATTGGGATGAAACAATGAAAATCAGCAGCAGGTATCAATTTCCTCAGAACACTCCCCATGATATGCACAGAGATGATCTTTCAGTGGATCAATATAAGGCGTTGACTATCGATAATTCGAGCCGCCCGACTTTGAATGCGGTCTAACGGAAGGAGTTGGTACTGTGGCGCTCCTGCCCACAGGTGAGAACAGTATTCCATATGCGGCCTGACTTGGGCTTTATATAATTTCAGGCGGTGTTCTGGCATGAAATATCGTCTCACCCTATTGAGCACTCCTAACTTCTTGGAAGCTATCTTAGCCTTCTCCTCCAGATGACCGCAAAACTGGACGTCGCAAGATATATGCCCAGAATTCCTAGATGACTTTTTATAGTGCCCTGAAAGTAATTAAATTTATTATTATTAATAAATTAAAACGATATTACAGGGACTATAGAACAATGTTTTTACCTATCACGGATTTTCAGAATATACCTATAGTTTATAAATATGGTGCAGTTATGGCCTAAAATGAAAATGATACTTAATTAAAATAATAATAATTAATTAGATGATATGATAAGTAGATAATACGAGTACAGTAAAGATAAAATAGTAAGTCTTTCGTACGGGGTTTCATCTACCTCCTACGCATGGGACTTGACGTAAAGATAGATAGACATTTATTGTATTAGGTAATTAGTGCAAGAGATTAATAAATTTTTACATTTTTCTACATTTTTTTTAATTCTAAATGCCCATTTAAATGTTTATAAAAATTAAAGGTTATGAATATGTTCGCTATATGAATAACTAAATTTTTTACGCAGCTTTGCCCGCGTGAATCAGTAATTAAAGTATCATATTTCGTTGAAATGAATTTGTTACCCACCAACAAACAAACATCAAAATGTCTTCACAACTTACACATTTATAATATTAGTGAAATATAGTTTCTTAAATTCTTAATCTCTGTAGCGAATTAAGACATAAATCAAGCAGCACACTCTTAATCTAAGGGAGTTTGGTGTCAAAGTAGAATCTACGGCTTAGGCGACGCACCAGATCTCATACAAATGATACCATTTCTTTTCACAGAAACGAATGAAACTAAACTTACTGTAATTTATGGATATAAGATAGGTATTTATTGTTTACTAATTTTTTCCCGCGGCTTTATCCATTTAAATCAGTATATAAAGTAAAATAGATATGAAGTATTCTGTATTAAGTTAGGATCTAATCTACCCGTGTACCAAATTTTATTCATATCAGTTCAGCCTTTTAGCGTGATTAGGTAACAAATTTTAAACATCTTTACAATCTTTACAAATGGTTATAATATTACTAAGATTATTGTTAAAAATAGATATCGCTAAACAGAGTCGTTAGGAAATAATCGTAATTAAATTAAGATTGAACGTTATTTCTTGAAATTAGTTAAAATTATATTTCATAAGCTTTTTGTCTGTCACTTTGTACGCGTGAATTTCAGAAGTACAAAACTCAATTATTTTGCACATTTTTCATTACGGTACTAATATAAAACATACACCAAATTTTAAGTTAGATTATCAAAAATACAACTGTGAGAACCGCATTTAATTTGGTGCAGTGGTTTTTGCATGATACCGAAATAAAGATACAGAGAGAAAGACAGACAAAATTTATAATAATATATTATTTTGACATCTATTACTCTTATTAAGATCCTCGTAATAATTTTCTATAATACCTTATTAATATTATAAATATGAAATTTGGTATAACCCTATATTTTAAGGTATACTCGTACTATAGGGGATGGAGAAGCTTATAGGTTACTTTTTATCTCGGTTAATAAACAGCGGGTCTACCATGAAATGAAATTCCGAAATTTCGGACTCAATTTCGTGTTTTTGTTTATACCAAAATCGGATCAATAAATGGAGTTTAACATTTCCTTTGTCATACATCCTATCATAAAAGTCCAAAGGAACAATATTTTAACATTTTTAATATGTCTAAACGGCATGTATTATGTAATTTTAACATTACATTTGTGTTTCGTTTGGCTCCGAAATTTCGGGAAACATTTCATGGTAGGCCCTCAGATTCCAATCACGCCAACGAAATCGCGGGTAAAACCCATATTGTATTATATTTGTAAGGAGATTACTATTACTATTATGTTTTAATACAGTTGTATATTTTGTCAGGCTCACAAACAGCATGTAATGCATAGAGTGGATGGTCAGACACCAGACGGATTGATGACAGCTTACAGCACTATCCAGTTTGTTGTTCAAAACCACCATTTTGTTGAAGGAAGATTAAGGGTAAGTGGAATTCTATTACCATACTGTGTATTCTATTATGTGTATGTGTATATATGTATATATATGTCTACCTATAACTGTCTAAAATGGTTATTTCGGTAACATGAAAACGCTTTATATTTTGTAATCTTATTAATTTATTAAATGCGAAATTTTGTACCTGTGTATGTTACTCTTTCACGCAGAAACCACTACACGGATGTGAATGATTTTCGATATACGGGTAGATTATATCGTAACTTAGTACATAGGATACTTTATGTACTTACTAATTCGCGCGATCGAAGTACATAACATTGTTTTCAGCAATAAGACTTGTATACTGTTACAAATTTATCTATTATATGTTTTTTTATTCTCTTATACATTGTATAATACAAATAAAGTATACTCATTAATTAATTCATTCAATACTCAAGATACTCAAGATTGATAGTAATTAATTTATTTAGTAACGCATTTCTACTAAAAATTCTAGTAATTTAATGTATCGAGGTTTGTCTATTACTACCTCACCTCATGATCGCGAGTTCGATCTTTGTGTAATACAAAAATACATTATTATATATACGAGTATGTCTGATTGTACCACCTGGATGATTTTTATATATAATATGTATGTATTAACAAAAAAAAGGTTTCTAGTATAAGTGATACAAGCTTTGCATAATTTGGCCACAGATGGCGTTGTAATGTATAGTTATATATGTATGTCCAATGATGTTTATTATTATTTTAATAGGCCCAAGTGATCAATTTGTTGTTCAGGGTCATTTGACATAAAAATTCCTCCGCTTTGCTGCTGTAGTTTGATAAAATAAATGACTAATTGATAACAGTTCGTTGGAGATTTTGTCTAAAACATGAAAAATAAACAGAACAATCTTAAATTTAATACTTATACTATATATTGATTTTTGGTTATTTTGTTACAGATTCGGTGTACGGCGATTATATACTCCATATACATTAAAACACATGAAAAGAGTTCAATAGAAGTGCGAATACCTACAACTGCGTCCAGTAAGCTGAAAGAACATGATGCGGTTGTCTATTCGATATATCGACAACCAGAGACAAGTATGATTTTTTTTATTTATATTTAAATACAGAAATATGTATCAGAACATATATATATATATATATAAACAAAGCAGTAACTACAACAGATTATAATTTAAGTGTGTGTATATACATATATATTTATATACACACATAGGTGTATGTTCGTGTGTGTTTTATTTTAATGAATATAAGATACATATGGTTTGCCCCAACTTGAGAAACAAGATAGTCTCTACTTCGATAGGAAAAAAATATACACTGTAGGAACAAAGCACAGTTTGTCGGAGAAGCTAATATAAATACATTTTTTGTGTTAACAATATATCTTATAATTAGGGAAGGTCTATTTTATTCAGTCTGTAATTATAGCGTCGCATATATACGAGTTCAAACCTTTATTCTCAGAACTCCCAGAATACTGTATTCTAAATTTGGTGTGTCAACTCGGTCATTGATCATATACGGAACACAATTGTATGTAAAATATTACACATACACAAATTGTGTCACGCAAATATTTAATCAGTTCATCAGACACAGTACACAAAGAGAAATCATCAGATTCTCTCATAGAGAGCGATAAACGCGTCTTATTCTTCTTCTGATTCTTGCTGCTTCTTTGCCAGCATCTTCAACTTCACCTTCCAGGGCTAGAACATCCAACAGGTTCCACAGACTGAATCAAACTTCGTATCTTGTTTACAATACCCACTAAAACTTTCATTAAACTAAAATCACATCACGATGTTTTCAATAGAGACGTATGATGTCGTGCGATGGCAGCCTCTATACAATGGCTGACTTTTGCAAGACCAATTCACAAACTGGTCAATGACTGATAGTTATATTTTACAATAGTGCATGTGACAATTGAATTTATTAAACAATTGTAGGTATAACAAAAATAATAAAAACAATAAGGACACATCTGGTATTATTCGTTTTTTTTTTCTCTTACTGATGCAAAATTCCAATCCACTTAAATATACTTTTCGCGTATCTCCGAATTTTAAACAGTTGTAGCTAATTGGATGTATATCAACTGTAGTGAATTTCTTATTGACATCCATTTCTTTAATTTTACTGATGATTAAGATGATTTTTTGTCATATATCTTTTCATCTCCCTTGTATACAATACAATAAATTAATGTAATTGTTTTTATTGATATTAAAGTATTAAAACATGCTTAATAACGTGATAAAAATATTATAAAAGTTTTGTAACGTTATTGAATATTTGATATTCTATCATATGTTTGAATTGTTTGAATGAATATTAGTACACAGATAGGTGGGCAAAACTGCAGGATATAGTCAGTTATATATAAATATTGTAGTCAGTTTTATGGGAAACCCTTCAGTTGTGTATTTTAATTTTAACGAGCACTTTTCATGGATATTATTAATTTGTAGCTCTCTTCTTTCACATGACTTGATATTTTGCATTTGGCAGGAGCTAAAATTTGAAGAAAACATTTTAATTAATTTCGGCTTCCTACCTTTACCAAATTAAACAAGTACGGTCGTACATCCACCCCGCCTGTGAATCACCTTTGTTGATTAAAGTTACATTTTAGAATCTTTGATAACAAGACTGAGTACATTATTGAATCAAAATTACAGATAGGTGCTTACACTTTTTTATTCATCATCATCATGATATTAGTTTTTAACTGTCCACTGCTGAACATAAACTTCCCCCTTGGGGGTTTTGCCAGAAGTTGTCATGTTTGGCAGGCGGGTTTGCAACCGCAGTTAGGCTTTAAAGGTGTTTTAAGAGGGAAGCGGCTGCTCATTCCCCGCCCTCTCTTAGTCGCCTCTTACGACATCCACGGGAAAGGAAGGTGTGGCCTATTTTATGCCAGGACCACACGGAACACTTTTTTATTATTTTCAATCAATCAGCTTGTTATTATATTAAGTTTCATTTAAAAACTTGCCTTTGCCAATATAAATATTTAATAAAATATTTATATTCGATCCCAATTAATTTAACAGTCAACTAGGGTAACTAGGATAAACTTAGTGCAAGGAAAGATAATTTAAATTCTAAATAATCGGAATTCATATCTAAAATTTTAAACTGTGGGAATATTCAAGTAAAATAAGTTTAAAAATTTTTTTAAGAAAATTTGACGTTAAAGTTCGAAATATAATCACCAATAAATATTCTATGTTAAGATTTTTGTATTAAATATTTAATTTACGAAATTCAATAACACGACTATTAAAGGTACCTACGAAACTACTTGGTCTGTAAGGGAGTTTGTAGCAATTAGGTTAATTTCCTCTCATTGTATAGTAGATGAATATAATGGGATACAAGCTTAATGGCTGTTAAATATATGACCATTTACCTCCATACAAAATGGTAATTTGTGACGTAGATATATTTTATTAGCGTTTCAATCTTAAATTGCAATATTTAATGTTAAGTCTGTTGTGTTATTATGTCACATTTACATTTCTAAAAACAATTACATAAATTACTTAAGCAAAGTTCCCTTTGTGTATAATTTATATTTGTAGATACAAACGTTCTACCATATAAATTTTACAATAACATCGTAATTAAAATTGGCATGAAGAGTGTTTTGTATTTTATTTATGCATAATATCATTTACTTACATTATTTATAACGAAGAAAAAATAATAGACTATTGCATTAGAACTCAAATGTAGTAGGGTTGTACCATAGGAATAAATAATGTAATCTTTATTCTTAAGGTTGTATCTTAGCAGTAAGAAAGGGCTTCTTGAAATACCCACTTACGATAATGAGTTTGCGCGGTTAAGCAAATTAAATTAAATCAATAAGTTTTGACACGTACGATTATTTTACATATAATTTTAATATAAGAACAATTGAAATTTTCTTTAATTTTCTGCATGCTGTGAATAGGGCAGAGAGCGTCTACAGTGATCTCCCATTGACATCGATTTTGTGTTTTTCGTTTCAGCTCACTTAACTCATGAACAAAAATACTCAAGAATAAATGAATGAATTTACGTGTACTTTAGTCGAGAATGCTATATGCAAACATGGATAAAATGGATACCGATCCGATATCTATATATTGGATTCCTCTGGACATTGATGGCGCAAAAGACGTCAACAGGCATTTCGATATTGCCCATATCAGTCGAATATCTATTTTCAAATACTTTTAACATATTCGTTATTGGACCAGTGTATCTATAGTTATTGCTATATATTACTCACCCGACTCAACTAATCTTTGTTTTTTTTTAAATAGTGTACTCGTTCATTAATTTGTAAAGTAATATATTTTATATTACAAATTAGTATATATAAATATTTGGCATGGCATTGTTGGAGACGACGATCCTCTTTTATTAGCACAACCCATTTTATAATCTGACCCGTTTTAAATTAATCGTTCTGTTAGTTTTAATAGATTGTTCTAACAGACTCGGAGGCTTGTAATGAATTTGTCTTACACGGATAGAGGTCAGTAATATATTATCCGACTTATCTACTGAAGGTATTAATGAAATCTATGATATAAATCATATGTTTCAAAATTTAAAGCCATCATTAATACATTTGTCTGATTTATTATGATAACAACCCATTTAATCATATTATGGGTATATCTATAACAGATATACCTGTATTACCTACCTCATATCGCCTATTATTACCACGCGAATAAGATAACTAAGGTTTTACTTCAATTTTTCCTACTCATGAATATTATATTGACATTTCTAAAACTAAAGTAATATTATAAAGAGGAAGTATTTTTTGTTCGTAATAGATAAACTCAAAAAACTTAAATAATTTTAAAATATCTTTAAAAAATGTTTTACTTTCCCTTTGTTATTCTTTTTTTATAGTTTACTAATTCGTATTTATATCTATCTACCTAGCTGTGCAAAGTCGGAGTGGGTCACTAGTAACATTACAAATATATTTACAAGAAACAAAATAATAAAACAATTACAAATTTAAGCCTTTAGTTCGCTACAGTATCACAAATACGAATTTTATTTTCGGGACACAACGCGACGCAATTTCAGATAAAATTGCCGACATATTGAATTTTATTGTCGATGTTTCGACATGGCACACGTAATGACCCTAGTATTACGTCCATAAGCAGAACTGTATACGTTTGTTCGCTGCTTCAACGATATATATAAAAAAATCATTCTAATCCATTCAGCCTATTTAAATATGAAATAGAAACAGTAATGGTTAAATATTAAAAAAAAAAAGTTTATCATGTTTCTAATAATCTTGTGAGGATAGTAACTCTTAGGTATTATGAGTTTCTACGTTGCCTTCCCTAAGGTGCCTTACCGGAAGATGTCATTATGTGCCGTCCGAAGCATGGAACAAGTGACTAACATTATTTAGAGTAGGGCTGTCCAAGCTAGATAGGATCTAGGGCCAATAAAAATGACAAAATTCATTGGGGGGCTGCAAAATATTTGTAAAAACAAAATGCAGCTATAATAGCCTTATTTTGTTATTGTATTACATTTTCATTAATTTTTCTTTTACGATTCTGTCAACATCAACATCAATATTGGTAGTAGCTAGAAAAGATTTGGCGAGCCGTATCAATTTAAGCCGCGGGCCGCATGTGGCCCCCGTGCCATGGTTTGGACAGTTCTAATTTAGAGCGTTCATAACCTTTGCTTGACGTAGTATTACAACGTCACAACTATCGTCAAATTAAAAACAAAAACATAAAGTTCAATGTTTTTGATTGAATATTTAAAAGGTTCTCTTATTGCGAATTTAAACATTAATGAAATATGTTGCATATAAATGTACTACTAAAAACTTTGCACCTACTTCATATTTTGCTTTAAAATATTTTTTAATCAATCAGAAAAATTAACTATGTTCAATTGGTTTTGATAAATGCGCTGATAAATTTTCACATTGCCATACTTTGTAATGAACAGTCTTAAAATATCAGAACATTAATTTGAAAAATTAAAATATTGAAACGTTGTCCAACTAAGCTTCTTCTGCTTCATCATCTTGTAACTGTGAATAAGCAATTGCCAATTGTCTTCAGAGTTTTGCGAAGACGTGTAATTTCTGTCTTTTTTTCCAGATGCTGGTATACAACTCGGGCCAGCAGTGACATCGACCATCACAGTGCTTTCAGTAATCATCCTTCTGTCGACTGCATTAAGATAAATGTTTCTAAGTAGTGTAGTATATATTAAATATAGGTAGACGAAATTAATAAATGTGTTCTGATATAGTTTAACACATCGCGTAACAAAACAAAAAAACACATTTGCGAGGTAAGCACATTAGGTTGGGTATATTCTAAATTTAAATTGTTTTTAATTAATTTGGGTCAATAATCCAGCTAGACATAGTGGAAAAAAATATTTTTTATATTTGATAAACTATAATTTAATAATATTTTTCAATTATAAGCCATATTTGTTATAATGTGTTTACTTATAGATTATTGTTACTGTTTGTTTGTCATATTATTATGTATATAACAAATCACACATTTTTCCATGTGCAAGTCAAGTAAAGATCAGGAGTCACTGCATATGAGCATTTTTTTATTTATGTTAACTTCAATAATAGATTATTTATTGGATGTTATGTTAATATTCAGCATATTACATACAATATGATTCATTATCTAGTAGATTTTTTAATTATTTCAAAAGATTAAGAAAGTTTCAAATTTTTTATTTTTAAAAGTTTCCTATAGACAAATAATTCCTGGTAATAAATTAACGTAAAACTTCATTGATCCTATAATATTACCAATATCTAATTGATTTTGATTAAATATCTATCCATTATATTCCAAATAATTTGAATGTATTTTGAATACTCAATTTTTCATCGAGTATATAATACACTTTAATTACTTTATATTTTTATTTATACACTAGCGGCCCGTCCCGGCTTCGCACGGGTGGACATTTTAAAAAGTGGCCATTAAGCCTGCACATGCGACGGAAGCTTAAAAATGGAGTAACTTCTTCCGTTTTCCCAACATTTCCCTTCACTGCTCTACTCCTATTGATCGTAACGTGTTGAAAAGTATACTATAACCTGCCTAGGAGCATGAAGAATAATTATAGCAAGTGTCGTTAAAATCCGTCGAATAGTTTTTGTTTCTATAATGAACATACAGACAGACAGACAAAAATTTTACTGATTGCATTTTTGGCATCATTATCGATCACTAATCACTCCCTGAATTCTGTACATGAATTATATTTCCAATATATTGACCTTTCTACAGATTTATTATAAGTATAGATTTTGCTGACAAAATGTTTTTATCTAATGAACTTTTAATATTATGGAAACTCTGAAGAAGAAAATTATGTTTGTTTCAAACTTTCTTAGCTTCGGCGATCAATGTTGGAAATTTTACCTTACGAATACAATGCCAATGCATGAGAATAGCACATTTGTTTGATAGAATTAAATCAACGTAATAATCCTTTATATAATTTTAGAATAAACAAACACAAAAAGTACCTAAATGCCTACACCATTGTTCTCATTATAAAGGCTGCTTTATTTTAAAGTGTTCTATTGTTCTATAGTTTAACAGTATTTACCGCTTTACTGGGTTGGTTCAAGAGTATCTATGTGTGTTGTTTGTGAGCCGCTCGTCTTATTTCTTGCCTTTTTTTAAACTGTTCACAAAAATAATGATTTAATTCACGATCGATTTAGATATCAATGTCTTTTCACATAAATTAAATTGATCAATTTACTTAATTAGTAGTGTCTTTACCCGATTAACATTATCTATTGTGTAGTAAATTGTAAAGTACATAGTCAATAATATTTTAAATTTACCATCGGGAATTATTAGATATGTAGGTACTCGTTAAGTTCTAATCATAAATTTAAAATATGAGTAAACAACGCGCAATTTTAAAATTAACTTATTTTATGATATTTCTGTATTTTGTCTTTTCATTTGCTTCAATATGATCGAGTAATCAGATACAGTCTCATCAATTATCGAAATAATAACTTAAGTAGCTTATGAGATAACATTAACAATTAAGGCATCGCTAATGGATTATTTATAAAAGAAGACAGCTTTTTTATTTAGTCAGATGACGGTGTTATTTTAGTACCTTTAAATAAATACGTTTTCTCTTATTATTTACATACGAGATAATGAATGAAATAGAGGGTTTTGGTATATAAAATACATGCTTTGGTGTAACAGATATGAGTATGTTTCCCAAATGATTTATACATTGACAAAAACATCACCTTTTTGAGCCTAGATTTACTGATTAATTCTGTTTGTTTTATTATGAAATAAAATATAATTGAGCATGAGGTCTTTGTTGTGTAATCAAGTTTTAAATACAATACAATTTTCTTCGGGACCCAATAGTGATATACGTCAAAATAGTAAGCGCGGCTTATTAAATACTGAAATTAGTTTCAAAATCAGTTGGTATTTGTAAAGCAGAATAATTTATGGATGTATTTTATATTGAAAACTATACTATAATGTCATGGACACATATTGTATATGATATTGTATGAAATTGTATTATGATAAGAAAAATATGATGAGAGAGTTATATAGTTTGTTGTGCTTAATGGAAGGATACTGTTAAAAAAAAAGTTATAGAGAACTAGGTAACTATAGTTTATTGTTAGAATTTTAGCTGTCATCTTCATAGGCATTCATTCTTTTAAAATCATTCCTTGCAAAAAACGACAGACTTCCTCTCTATCTTCTTGTTGTGGTTTTATGACTGAATTCGAATACCCTCATTCTGTCATTTACAAATGATCCATTTAAGTGACACGAATATGACAAAGGAATGTCGATAGAGTAGCTGTACACAGAGAAATATTCTATTTTATGACACTTTGAAAGCATATACTCGTATGTATCTCACGAAGATAGTATTCAAAAAGTCGTGGAAAATCTTTGATTTTATTTTGAAGGTCTATTCAATTGATTTGATAATTTGATAAAAAAAAAGTGTGGTGAAACACTATCAGAAACAAAAGATGTATCCGTGTATTTCTTATGACGAGATTATAAAGAAAAATCTAATCTCGAACATGAAGTTAGGTATAATTAAGTTGTGATCAAAAACCTGCCCGCCGGATTTTTTTGATATTGTTGATTTTACATAAATGTCTTTACGACACCGTCCATTAAATTGAGTAAAAAAAAAAATATATAAAATCTCCAATAATTTTAAATATATATGTCTATAATTGTATATTCATTATACTATAAACATCATCCAAATTGAACGTGAAAGTTTATTGTTGGATACGCGAAACTCCGATATCAACTGTCATAAAAGAATTTCTTTTATATTTAGTGTTGTGATGTATATAATATAAAGTATCGAACCTCTAAATTGGATTCTCTGGTATCAAATTTATAAGTTTTGTCTATAAAAAGATCTGTTATAAGTTCTTAAAGGAGTTACGATTAAATTATATGATGTTATTGTACAAAAGAAAAAAAATGTCTATATATAAATTATTAAGGCTTTGACTTCAATACTTTTATGTTATTAGTATATTATACGAGTATTCTTATATAATTTTAATGTAATTTGTAGATATGCGTATAATATATAAATGTAATTAATAAGATCAAAAATTCCCAATTCTGTAACATATCTGTGGGTGTACCCAGATTTATTTATTCCTTTTCAGTTTGATACTTACTTATCGAAAGGTAATCTTGAAATGTACTTATATTCTTAAGGTAATAAATTAAGCTAATTGATATTTTACTTTACGATGATTTTATCTATAGAAGAAATGAAAGTAACTCAACAGAAAAATGTAAAAAATAAAAACGTTTCGTAAATTAATGTATACAATTTATATGTTACTCAATTATATTGATATAAATTAAGAAAGTATTTAAAATGCTTCTATGTCTACTTACCAAGGTGCGAAAAAAAATTCTAATTAGTCGAAATATTATCTACCGCTATCTTATACAAATAATAAAAATGAAGGTATAAATTAAACAATTTTTTTCATACTTGTAAATTACTGATTACTGTTAACATCCTAATGAATTGACAGCGCTTGATTAGTTGAATTATGAAGAATGTAGAAATATTATAATATTAATTACCCGGAACTTGTAAAACTGACTTTAAATATTTATTTTTAAGAACATAATTATATTTTTATTTCATTATTTCGATAGGTTAATAAAGTTATGGTACAATGGAGAATTGAAGATGAAACGAAACGGTAATTTTCCTAGTCTCATGGGTATGCCCATAAAAACAGCCTTTATGTAATATTATCTTATAATATCTTATTCTTTAAGTATCCTCGTGGTGGCCTGTGTTTTATTGTTTTGTTGCTCTATGTAGAACCAAATTCGTAGTTTTTCTATGACTGAGAAATATTTCTTCCTTATATTTCCACTGTTGATACTGTGTAGTTGTGCCAACCCGAATTTATGTATTTCATTAAATGGAATACACGAAAAGTAATCTTCGTTTTATTGACTTCCTGTTACTGGCGGGTGACGTTATACTAGTAATTGTGACCCCCTCTTCACCACCACCCTTCAATGTTACAGTTTAAAATGAGTTGACAAAGTTGTAAAAGCGAAATAAACCGCACTGTTTATTATTATTCTATAGTTTTATTTCTGAATTAGTTGTGATATTGTTTAAATTTTATTTATAAATGAATTGCCCAATCAATTTTTAATACAAGGGGTGGGTTCATTTCGACTGTCTTTTTTTGTGCATATATTATGTGGTATTTTAGCCAACTCCATATTAAATTTTCAACAATAAATCAGAAACTACGTATGCATACTATCGATTTGAAATTTCAATATTTTTTTGTGGAACAAATACCTTAATTTTTTATTTATAAATAAAAAAAAGAATATTAATATCAGTATTTTTAGGAAATATATAATTATTAAAAATACGACTATGAAATGCTTATGAAAGGTTCTTCCTTAGTTGTTTCCTGTCATTTTTCGACCAATATTTATTTCTTTTTTCTTTTTATTTCTTTGAAGAAAATATTGAGTTTTTCTGGTAAAACATTCTTATAATGAGATTTTTATAATTTAGATTTCATTGTGTACACGTGATAGTTGGTTGCTGAGCAGAAATGGTATTTTTTTTTGTGGGTGAAAATAAAATGGTGACCCCACCTGCGCTATATCAATACACCGGCGGGGCATTAGTGAGGGATGATAGACGAGGATGAAGCAGGTCAGTTAGCCTATCGTGATGACTTCAACAATAATTAACCACGATAATTTTTAAAGGGAACCGCGAGGTCGACTTGATAAGGTGTAGTAATGTGGCTGTTAGACCAAACAACTAATATTCTCTTTTACCCAATGGTAACATTGAAAATAGATATAAAATGCTGGATATGACTAATTAGAGGAATCAGTTTATAAAGTCACATGTATGGCTATCTAGTTCTATTTCATTCGCGTTTCTATAACTACGTTTAGAGAAACACGTGTCGCAATATGTGCGTAGATTGAATATCTGTCGGAGATTGATGACCATATGGAAGGTTGTAGAACTTCTACTTGTAATAATAGTAGTCAATTTTAAATGTTGGCAGTCGCACACAAACTGATGGTACCACAGAAGTCATTGGGTACACGGAGTCATTTACTTGTGTGTTATTATTCTTAAAAATAAAGTCGTTATAAATCCGTATCTTATAATTTCACTATCATATCTCACTTTTAAAAAAAAGACATAGCAAACTGTGCCAACGTAGTAGCTGCATAGTAGAAATACAAGTGAACTGAGCCACTCATGCCAATTAAATTTTGTACAAACTCTCCCTGTGGTTATTTGATTAGAATTATTTTTTTTTAATTCCGCTATAATTAGTATGTGTGTAACTATGAACATTTGAAGACTGACTACCACTATTACTACCATCAATCTCCGATTCTCATTTTGTTCGCAGACGTTTTGCGACACGTGTTTTACCTCTAACCGAGTCATCTTAAGGTAGATTATTAGATCTCCCTCTAGTGATTTTTGTACAAGATTTTATTTACTTGTTTTTATTATTATTATACTTGTTCTTAAAAATGATTTTTAACAGGCTTGTTTACGTTTTGTTTTTTATTATTACGATTTAATTATTTAATTGTAATTGTATTATATTTATTAAACATATATATTTATATAGACAAACGTTCTGTAAAAGAATTGAAGATCACACCGTGTTCAGCGGACGCGGCACCGGCTGTTTTCTCTGCGGTCATGGAACTTTAGCCATAAATGGCACCTGCGTAGTAGCTACCTACTACTAATTATCGTTTAATCTGTCTATGCTTTAACTCAAAATTGCTAGAACTTTCTACCGGCTTACCCGTAACAAATAGAGGGATTCACTAATTATAACTAGATCTAAAAGCTATGAATATGGTGGCTTAGAGCAGATGTAAAGTTTAATTATAAATAGTGGTTGAACTTTCCGACGTTCATCCGAAAAATATATAATTTTCCTTTGGATTTTTTTAATCGACTTCAAAAAAGGAGGAGGTTTTCAATTTGGTTGTATTTTTTATATTTGTTCCCTCGTAACTCTAATAATACCCTTTTCATCTGAAAGGTACTATATCATATGTATGTTGCAACTTCGTCCGTGTGAATCTGTATAATAAATAATGTATCCTATATGTTAAGAAGGGATATAATATACCCATTCTCCATATTCTTCAAATCTGTTAATTTTCAAAATAGTTTTAACATAGAATAACAAACATACATTCTATCCAAATAACCTCAGAAACTTTCACATTTACAATAGTAGTAAGATTGTATTAATCTACTTTTTCAGCTTATTTCAGTACCATATCATATCAACTGTTAAATGTCCACTGCTGAACATAGGCCTCGTCTTATTGGGGAGTTTTGCCAGTATTCTCCATGGTTGGCGGGCGGGTTGGCAAACGCAGCTAAGACTTATTGACGTTTTAAGAGGGACGTTGCTGCCCATCCCTTAACCATTAATTCCCTTAGTCGCCTTTTACGACACCCACGGGAACGGAAGGGGTAGCCTATTTTATGTCGGGACTACATGGCAATATAAGATCTTAATTTAAATTATACAATAGCCTAAAAATAAATTTTATTCACACAATTTGTGATTAACAGAGAAAGTAATAATATTTTCCATTTACAATAACATAATACTCATTGTCGTTTCGTACATTGATACAGTAAATTGAATCTTGTGAAATTCCTCCCAATATAATACAAAATAAAGCACCGAAACGAAGGACATGATTTTTTTCTCCGGAAATTAAATCTTTTCTCTCTGAGAATCACTACGAAGTCTTATTCAACATAATGAAAGAAAATTAGCTACTTTTTAACATCATTTATATGTGAAACATGTACGTTTTTTTCATTTATTTTCTTCTGTAATGATAAAGATAAGTAGATGTCGTTTATTCATATTAATGTGTGTGTGGGTCTCTCTCTCTCTTTCTCTCTCTCTCTTTCTCTCTCTCTCTCTCTGTGTGTGTGTGTGGGGGTATACATTAAAATGTATTATTTAAAATATTACACACAGTAACATTTTAAATAATAGATTGAAATACCTTCTGGCAGCTCGATCTAATGGATTAGAATTCATGTATTTCTGCTATGAGGACCTAATGTAATTTAGTACATCACAGAAGGAAAACTTTCAGTTAACAAAACTTTCAAATATCATTACTTCTACCGTGGGCGTCATCTATCGATATATATATATATATATATATATATATATATATATATATATATATATATATATATATATGAAAGTGGAGACCACTGACCTGAAACTTTGTGGTTGCAGGATTCGGTTCTGGCTTTAGGCTTCCCAGTACTTCTGGCTCGTTCGAACTTACCCTCAGATCCAGGTTACCTATCCACCGCCTTGAACCGACCAAGTGCAATGCCCTCCTCTCAATCAGCCTCTTGGTTATTTGTGATATGATTAAGAAAGCGATACGAAAAGAAACGATATTCGCGGCAATATATGCACGCGTGCGATAATATTTTTTAAACGAGAACGACGACAACGAACGTACGTTCTACCGACACATTCGATAACAACCGACAGACTTTTTTTTTTTTTTTATTGTGCGAAAATGTTGCCAGGCGAAATTTATTTAAGCTACAATTCTTAACATTCCGCCCACCAAAATACAACATATTTTCCTAATTACACATTAGCAATAGGTTTCTTTTCAAACGACACAATTAATTTAACGATAAATAACGACAAGTTAAACGACAAAAAGTTAACAAAGGTCTTTAATTTGATAACGGTAGAGGGCACAGTTTAACGACTGGCCTCTTACATTCACCAGAATTGGTTCGAATGGTAACGACTCTACAAACTCCATCAGTACCACGGTGAAGTTTGACTACTCGACCAATCCTCCATTTCATTGGACTGCATTGCTCATTGACAATGAGAACAAGAGTGCCGACATCAATCTCCTGTTGTTTGTTGTACCATTTGAGACGCGACTGCAAGGTATGCAAGTACTCTAAATGCCACTTGCGCCAGAAATCCTGATGGATTTTTTGTAGCAATTTCCAACGCTGCAACGGTCCCAATTTTATATCAACTAGATTACTTTCAGGTAATATAGTGAGAGGTTCCATGGTGAGAAAATGACCAGGAGTCAACACCGAAAAGTCATTGGGATCCGAACTGATAGGCGATAGAGGTCTTGAGTTTAACATGGCCTCTATTTGAGCTAAGACGGTATAAAACTCTTCGAAAGTAAGACGTTGTATACCTATTACACGAGACAAATGAGTCTTTATTGACTTCACACCAGCTTCTGCTAAACCGGAAAAATGCGGACTACCTGGTGGATTAAAGACAAATTCAATTTGTTCTACATGCGTAGCATTTTGCAGCAAGTCATGCAATACATTTGCTGCACCGATAAAATTTCTACCTTGATCCGAAATCAACCGAGAGCAACGACCGCGCCGAGCGATAAAGCGCCTTAAAGCTGCTAGGTATGCTTCCGTAGTTAACTCAGACACGAGTTCAAGGTGCAAAGTGCATACAAAAACACATACGTACGATTTAAATGTACGTGTACCACGACCACGACCCAAACTAATATCGAAAGGACCAGCATAGTCGACTGCCGAAACCGAAAATGGCTTTATTTGATTGATACGACACGCTGGTAAATTACCCATGATAGGTGGCGCTGCAACTCTAGGATGAGCACGAAAGCATTTTACACACGAGGATATTACTGCATGAATAGCTCTCTTCGAAGACAATATCCAAAACTCTTGAGATAATAAGTTTTTCAAAGTTTGCATACCAGGGTGCATAAACCGATGATGATACTCTTTGATAATGAGTGTTGTTAATCTATGATTACGAGGCAATAAAATTGGATGTTTGACATCATAAGTTATGGAAAGCCGACCGCCCACCCTCAAAAGACCATGTTCATCCAAGAATGGAGACAACTTTCGAATGGGTTTGGAAATGGAAAGCGACGATTCTTCCTTCGATAAATACAAAATTCTGATGCAAAACAACGCTTGAACATGCCTCACTAGAAAACGAAACGCTTGATTTATCTCTGCACCCGACAAATTACAATTATTTTTCAGCATAGGGTTTTGCAAATTATGAATATATCTAAAACAATAAGCCAAAATACGCAAGGCGCGCTGTAACGACGAGAATCTATTTAATAAATCATCTATAAACGACATATTAGAGGCTGTGAAAAGACTATAAATCTTTTGTTCATCAGCAGCGGCTTGATCGAACGACATCTCTGAATGTGGCCACGACACTTCAGGGTTTCCCGCCCACCATAACGTATTCTGGACTAAATCAACAGGAAGTAAGCCGCGAGAACCACAATCCGCTGGATTTTCAAACACAGAAACGTGATGCCAATTTTGCGGAGGGACTTTCTCCTGAATATTTACCACTCTATTAGCCACGAAAGTTTTCCATTTAGATGGACAAGCACGAATCCAAGTCAGAGCGACAGTTGAATCTGACCAAGCATAAATATTACTAAAGGGATAAAACTCTTTTAAAGCATCGACAAATGAGCAAATTAAGTACTGTATTCCAAACGTGGAATTGAGCACTTACGTAGAGGAGCTATGATTTTGCACAACACAAGCGCACGACGACAGAACCATCATTCTTAACGACACGACAATATATGACTGTATAACCTCTTTCGAGGCATCACAGAACCCATGGAGTTGTAATGACTCGAAAGACTCGACCATTCTGCGAGGAATGGAAAACGAACTTAACGACGACAATGATTTAAATTTAGACCACTCTTGACTGATAGTGAAGCATCACTATCCCAATCGACACCCGATAACCACAAAAGTTGTATCAAATATTTTGCCAGAAATACCACTGGTGCTAACAAACCCAATGGGTCGAAGATTCTTGCGATGTCCGACAGAATGGATCGCTTGGTACAACGAGTATCACTGGAAGATGTCTTAAATGATCTTTTTAGATCATCCCCAGAAAACCATGAAAGACCCAATATTTTAACCGAAACATCACGAACATCTTCAAAATCACGAAGTTGCTCCGAGTACAAGTCGGAATCTGACACCTTTTCTAGAAATTTGGACAGTTTGAAGTCCATTTACGCAAGTGAAGATTACAATTTGCAGAGCATTCTCTACAGAATCGGCGCCTGATACGACGTCATCAACATAAGTATCTCTAGCTAATACTGCACTTGAAGCAAGAGACGAAAATTCCTTTGCCAACCAGCAATGCACCAAAGAGCCTGATATGGGGCACAGGATATAAGTCACTGTGAGTAATCGAAAATAACAGGATCATTAGGAGAAGGACGCCACAAAATGCGTTGATAATCACAGTCTCGAAGATGAACAAGAAATTGACGATACATCTGCTTGATGTCTGCAGTTATTGCCAACGAAATCTGACTAACAAGTCAAAAATGTTCTTTTTTGCCCGGTAATAAAGAATCATTTCTCCATGGCTTGCATCGTAGGCGGTCAGGCCGCATCACTCCATGATGCGGAATGTAATAAAAATTACCATCATTCGATGAAGGTGGTTCAACTTCCTCCATGTGACCAATTTGAAAATAGTCATCCATGAATTTGACATAAGCAGTCGAAATAGAGGGTTTGTTTTAAATTTCCTCTCCAAATTTAAAAACCTTGAGAGCAATTTTACGAGAATTACAAAACCTGAGGGTCAACGAAAGTTAATGGTACTACCAACGGACTACGACAATATGGGTTCATATAGCCGATTTTATGTCAGATTTGGGGGGATCAATACTAATTCCCAAAAACGATTAATATTGCTGTCCAAAGACCAATAAAAGACAATCTTAATTTAAAATTATACAATAGAATACCTAACAGCAATGGGCTGACCTACATTGCCTTTGACAAGGCCTTCTTGAAGTGCTGATGTCAAAATGTTAACACTAACTAACATATCAATAGGTCCAGGTATGTGGAACGAAGGATCAGCAAGATCCAAATCCAGAATATGTTTATTCGAGACACAATTTGTGATTAACAGCAAAACAAAAGCTTCAAATGAAAATTTACAAGTGACATCACCATTTGATGGAATAATTTTCGAGTGTGTTTACAATAACATAATACTTGCACAGGTGTGTGTCGTATCCAAAAGAATACGAATACATTTATTTAATTTGATACAGTTGAAAACAAAACTTGAATGCCCAATACAGCCAAGGTGGTGGTAACTGCTGTGAAATGTATTATCACCTTTGTCAAAATGAAGTAAATGATAATACTTAGAACAAATAAATGTTCTACAATTCTTTACGCCGAAAACATCCAATACACAGTTTATTTTCTTTTATTAAAGAGAATCTTTCAAAGGGTGACAAGCTATTGAATTTTGAACACTTCTCCACACTATGACTGGAAGAAGAACAAGCAATACAGTTAACCGAAGGCACAATAAGCGATGGTTTTGACCTAATTGTTTTCTAGTAATAATATTTGACTTTGATGTGTTTGAAAAATCTTTTTTCTATGAAGTTAATTCTCTGTATATCAACATCACAGTTGTAACTCAAACTTGTTACTGCATCAATTTATCCACAACAAATTAAATAACACTATCAGGTAAATGAAAGATAAATCTTTAAAGCGACAAACTGTTTTTTAACTTTGATCATTTATATAATCTTTCATAAAAGACAGTAGCGATGACTCTTTTTTTGTTCATATTTTCAGGTGTTATATGCTAACAAATAGTTTTCATCACAAAGGGGATAATTTTTAATTAAATCTAAAGCTTCACCTTGAACATTTGACAATAAGTAATGAAGTTTTTCTACTGGTGCTATCTCTTTAGAGTGAATTAGTGAGTCGAACAACTGAATAAAAGAGACCCAATTTTCAATATGTCAAAGGGTTTTATAATAATTCTGGGTAATTTCATATTACTACTACCATAGACGATATAAATGTGTGTGTGGATTTTACTATTTGCTCAAAACGAAATGACAATTTTAATTCACTGGATGTATCACTCTCTCTCTCTCTCTCTCTCTCTCTCTCTCTCTCTCTCTCTCTCTCTCTGTGTGTGTGTGTGTGTGTGTGTGTGTGTGTGTGTTTCCATTGTTTAACAAAATAACTATTTTTTAATTACAACGCAATATCCAAATAAAATGAAATAACTTGGAAAATAACAAACAACAAAATCAAAACAAACGAAATTGACAACCAAATTACGAAAACAAAATATGACAATCAATTTTTACATTGACAGTCACTTTTAAGATACGTTCTGAAACGATAAGTTTTATTAGCGCAAAATCAATTTAAATATTTTAGATAAAGAATTACGATTTTTAAATTATCAATATTAACAATGAAAATATTTATTTATATTCAATGAATAATGTTTTTATTATTTTGCAAAAAGTTATTTCCTTCAAAATGATGGAACAAAACGTTTCATTAAATTAATACAACGAAACGCAATATGTCGTCAAAATGGAAGAAATCCTGATTGCTAATATGATGTAAAAGTACCCACTTATTTTTACAAAAAATTAATAATGCGAAAGAATTACGAAAATTAGTTTTTTAAACTCGAAATTACACTAAATTATCCAAAGATCGACCTAATGTTAACCGTTTAAAATAAGATCTTACAAAAAATGAAATTAATCGTCACAGTTATTAGTGGACTGTATGAAATTTAATACAATGGTGGTAGTTAACATAAGAAACACAAGAGGATAATGTTGAACTGAAACTTTGTGGTTAGCAGGATTCGGTTCTGGCTTTAGGCTTCCCAGTATCATCGAACTTACCCTCAGATCCAGGTTACCTATACCTTGAACCGACCAGCAGTGCAATGTCTCAATCTCTTGGTTATGTGTGATATGATTAAGAAAGCGATACGAAAAGACAAACGATATATATATATATATATATATATATATATATATATACAATATATATATACTCTTTCATATGTGATACAGTGATTGATATATAGTCTCAAAGTAATCAGAGCTTGTACTAAGGTAAATATTATATATAGTATTTATTTTTTCCATCAATTGTCTATTGCAAGCAACTAAAAAAACTTAAATGCTATTTATGTTTATAAATATATTATGCGGGCATCAATACAGACAAATGTAATCATGAACACAAATGTTTGTACTGTAATTATTTATGTTGGATTTACTCACTCACGTTTTAAACAAACAGCGCGCTAGTTGCGCAGTGCTACTCGTGACACAGTTGTAAACGGCGCTCATGAATAGAGCTCTAATTGAGTTCGAAAATAGTCGGGTATCCCCAAATTTAAAACGTGACTAAAATCGACATAAATAATTAAAAAATCAGTATGCTTCACTTTTTTTAATTTTTTTAATTCCAAATGCAGTATTATGAATTTTACATATCTTTATTAAGGTACTAATTTTATATATTTTGCATCGAAAATTTGTCTTACCTTACCTTACTCATCAGATCACATATATAGATTTAAAATGCAATTGTTGGTCTTAAATTAAATTATAAATTTTACGGCTGAATCTTTACATAAGGCTTTGTTAATCTATACTAATATAATAAAGTCGAAGAGATTCATTATTTGATTGCGATAATCTCTGAAATTATCATTAGTACTTGAAAAATTCTTTTTGCGTTTAATAGTTCATTTCTTGAGAAAAGTTCATTATATAACAATAATAACAACATACAAGCACGAGCAAAGCCACGAGACAAAGCGGGTCTTAGTATGTAATAAAAATCCCGTGTCACGAAGTTCGTTCACGACAATTTCCGAAACCACTCACCAATTTTAATTGAATAGGACTGTTTTTATTCGTAACTCGATAAGAAAAAATTGACTTGGTAAACAGCGGTAATGGGCAAAACAATGTTTAGCGTGTTAGCTAGTCCTCTAATAAATATTAAAAATCTTCACGTTGATAAAAGAAATTTTTTTTATATTGAGTTAAACATGGAAGAAATACCTACAGTAAATAATGTATGAAATTGAGAGACTAGATGATTGAATTTATTAAGTATACTGATAACATAGATAAATGTAAGATACTCATAAAAGGTCTATGTTATGTTTAAGAGTTATACGAAATAAGATAGTCATTTATATATTGTCTTTTGTTTAATTTTTTTTATTTTTATGGCAAATTTAAATATGCCAGATCAGCTTTTTTTTATCAACACAGGGAACAAACGAGCATGTGGTTCACCTGATGGTAAGTGACTACCGCCACCCACGATCACCCACAATTGCAATGCATGTGTGCTGCCGCCTTTTAAAAAGGAATAAACTGATATTAATATTCTTACTAACAATGATATGGTGATGATATCAACCGTTAAATATTCACTATCGAACATAGGTCTCCCTCTATTATAGAATTTTATTGGTAGTTGCCACGCTTGGCGGGTAAGTTGGTAAGCACAGATAGGCTTTGGTGATGTTTTAAAGAGAGGCACTGCTGCCTTGCCCTCAACTATTACGTTCCCTTAGTTGTCTCTTATGATACCTGTGAGAAAGGAATTATATGCCGGTACCACATGGTTGCATTTTTACCAATATATATGTACATATAAATGTGAAAGTCAGTTTATTTGCTTGTAGATGTACCAAATCTCTTAGAGTCTTAAGAGTCTAAGAAATTACTATGAAATTTAGTATATACACACTATAATGTAGGCTGGAGAAAGACATAGGTTATTTTTTATGCTAGTCAGTAAACATATATCGGTCACATAGACAAAGTCGCGGGTAAAACTAGTAATTATATATAAGTACATTCTGTTTCTATAATGTGTACATAATTGTCTATTAAAATTTAAGAATTCATAATACCTTTTAATTAGCAAACATAGCAGTAGTACCAACAAACAAGAAATTGTTGTATAAATTCATTTTATAATGTTACATATTCGTGTATCACTAAATTTGATTTATCATATGTTTGTTTGTTTATAAACTCAAAAAACTACCAAAAAACTATCAAAAAACGTTTTTAAAAATTTTTTAATCTATAGAAAGTTAATATAAAACACTAATTCATCTTTTTATTAATCTACCTGTGCGAAACCGGGGCAATCGCTAGTTCTA